CAAAGAAACAATGGTCCTTACATTCAGAGAGGTAGCACTACTCTGTTTGCATAGGCAAGTCAATTGATCTGTAAATGGGATGATCCTCAACTATTCCCTAGATCATACTTTGCTCGAGCCCTTTTGGAACCACCATTCGACCCCTTGAATAGCCCCTATGCGCGAAGTGTATTTGCCTCTTACGCGAGTGCCTGTGTCATACTTGCCACAGTCCGTACTCTGTATGAGCGACAATCGGCCCTGATGCATAAAGCAGCGTTCTTCTGGACGAATGCCTTTACGTCCGCAGCAATTTTGGGCGCTATTGCATCCCGCGCCCCAGACAGCATGCTTGCGTCCACTGCTATCGTTGATTTTGGTACGTACCATCTTTTTAGAGATGATTAACTCTGAGCCACTTCTAGATCGTGCCGTCGAACTCTTTCAGCATGCTCGCGCAGGAAAGCGCATAGCACGAGGATTGGTGAGATCAAAATCACTGTTGGTAACTCTCATCGTTAACAAACTTCCAATAGCCCGCACTACTTCGATTACAGGAAAAGGCCCATAAGGCAATAAACTCCTTTAGGAGTGGCACATGGACTAGGCCTACTGCCACAGATTCAGAGCTTTATAAGAGCTTTGGATCATCTGGAATTATTGTTGTACCTAAGTCCAGCCCCGAATCCACCCCAGACACAAACTCAGACGCAACCTCAGCCACCAATTCTTTCTCTGAGAATTCCTTAGCTTCTGTCCTCGGCACGGAAAATAAGCAGTCATCCGGTTACCCGGAAACAACAGTTCTTCCAGGACTTGGAACGACAACCAGTGATGGTTTTCTACAAAGCATCTTCGGTAATAGTTGGGTTCTGGGATCTTCACTGGATAAGGCACTCGAACCTCCTGATAGCATATTATCTCGACATTCTCCTTCCTTAACTTCTCCGGAGAGCCAAATTACACCATATCCGATGAGCGGATCCCAACCAGAGACGCAAGGCCAGAATATAAAATCAACCGGGCCGGCAATCCTTAGAACAGTTGACGAAGTACAAGGCATCTCACAAGTTCCAATTGCCAATACCAGTTCCTCTACACTCTCTTTTAATGATCCACAGGCTAGCATCTTATGGGAAGCATTCTTGCGTGAAGTAGACGTTCCACGCTATGCCGACTACTAAACTCCACTGAAGCACAGAAATGTCTAACGTAAACATGTTGTATAGATATAGAATAGTACATATTCCAGATTAAATACCAGTTTTTTTCCCACTTGTGTTTAAAATAACGAGATATTCAGTGGCCGTCCTTCAATTAGTGGAGAAGCACAACTTGGACCTTACCATCTCTGGCCAACCTCTCACCCAACAAAATTATGAACAAAATATGGCCGAGAACGTGAATCATAAACAATCTGAACATTCCAGAGCGAAGAACTGTGCAGAATGTCGGCGACTCAAGATCAAATGTGACCGAGGGGTGGGTCGATAATTGATATAGACTAAACCATTGACTCTTACCTGAGACTATAGATACCTTGCTCAAACTGTATCAAGCGAGGAAGAGCTTCCATATGTCCCGACGGCGCGCTTCTTCCCAAAGGTCAACGGTTCGAGCTCCACTATGGCTACTTTTGGAGGTCTTTCTGATAAGATCTTTTTGTATAAATTAAGGCTCATACTCTCTAATACTGAGCAGCTTCATGTTCGAATCGACGAATTGACCGAGAGAATCAGAGAATTGGAGGAGGCCTTGGCGAATTTACAGGTGAAGTATATTCTAGCGCTATAGAGTACCTAATCAATATATCTCCAGTCTCTCCATTCAGATGAACCTCATCCTCTACTCAAAGAGTCGACAGAACCACTCACAACCGCATTTGGTTCGCTGAGACTCCATGATGATGTAAGAATCTTGGCTGCACTCAGATAATACGGTTTATTCTCTTTCTACTAGGGTAATGCAAGATTCTATGGGGGCACCAGCAGCATGGAATGGGTCAGGATATCCACAAAACTCTTCATCACCGAGAGACTGATGCCTTGTTGTACTAGCTCATGTCCAACGATGGACCAGCCATAGATCCTGTGCCGCAAGTGTATCCCTCATCGGATCTTTCCCAGTCTGTTAATCCTCTCGAAGACGCTGGAGGGCTTGACTTTGTCAACGCCTCCTTTCCCCATTCCAGACATGAAATGTGAGTAATTGGGTATTCAGGGCATCAGTTGTGGGCGGAAGGGGAAAGGAGGCGTTGACAAAGTCAAGCCCTC